TAATAGTAGAGAGTAAGACGTAATTGCTTAAAAACAAGTTTTAGCATGAGGTCTACAGCTCTCCCAAAGATTTCAGCCACATCTTGTGATTTACATCAGTAGGTAATCAAACTAATGTTTTCAAGGTCAGTAATAACTTGATGCTTGGAAATTCTACTTCAAATGCTTACAGAAAGCATCTGCTAAGAAACTGCCCTATCTTGATTTGCGTCATGCTGTACCTTTAGCAACTGCCCGCCTCTCATCCTGCAGCATCCTGTCTCTCTCTTCCTCCAGCTCCCTGATCTCCCTCTCATGTTTCTCCTGCAGCTCCTGCAATGCTTTCTGATGGGCTACTTCCATGGCTTCAAGTCTGGCCCTACAGGGAGCCCCAGGGCCGCATAGGCTATCCACCTCTATCTCCATGGCTGCACGTTCCCTCTTAATGCTCTCAACTTGCTTTCGAAGACTGAGGGCCTGGCAGATGGATTTGCAGGGAATGTATGGGGGAGGATGAGATTTAGAGAAAAAAGGAGAGAATAAGACAAAGGAAGAAATGGGGTGGGAAGACTTGATTTCCAGTTTGGAATCATGAATTTGCTTCTGGAATGTCTTCATAGAGTTCCCACCTATCACACTATTAATTATCTGCTGCAGTGAATGTAGTTTCTTTCTTACCTCTTTTTTCAGAGCTTCAGCTGTGTTTGTTTGAATGGTCTGGCCACCATTTATAAATGGAAGAGCCCCCTTTGAGCTTGATACATCAATGTGTGAACCAGTGCCAGACTCTTCTGCTGTTTCAAGGCTCAGTTGATGAGTCTGGGGACTAATCAGAGATGGTGATGCCCCTGTTGTGGTTGACTGATTATCCTGGGCTCCAATTAGAGACTGAGTACTCATGTCCTTTAACGTCAGTGTCTCAAATTCTACCCACTACATGCTGACCTCTGAATCCTTGGTTTCTATAACAGGCACAGGTACACTCCCCTTTTTCAGCTCCATGGAGTCCCACCTGCTGCCCATTTCACTGAGGGGGACCCCCTTCTCAAACCACTTGTTCCTCTCCTCCAATCGCTTTGCTTGCTCGCGGTCCCAGCCCTCCCCTTCTCCTCTCTGGCTGGCTGGAGATAGGTCTGAGTCCAGATCTCTGTCTACTGTGTGATAGTGGTGATCGGCCTGATGGGAGTTTGCATCTGTGATGGTGGAAGTGGTAGGGTCATAGACGGAGTCCGTGCAGGTGAACTGAGCGGTAGGTTGGTATGACAACGGTCTCTGGGGGAGGGGGTTCTCTTTCTCGCTGCTGGTTTCTGATTGGCTGAAGTCAGAATGAGGGAATGACAGAAGGGTAGAGTTACACACCAGAAGAAAGACGACAGAGAGTGTTCACAACAGGCAGACCACATGGTTTGCATTTGTTCAGTGTCCAGGAATTTTCCTGTCTATGAAACATTTGTTTAGTTAATTCGATTGAGGATTTTACTATATATTTTATGAGCAATACGCACAAATATTCTAACTATTAGGGCTTCACCAACTAGGATGCCCTGAATTTGTAAATTACTAATCATGATTAACTGTTAATTTATTATTACAAACAGTCATCCAAAGTCACAGTTTTATTAATTGTTTTAATATTTAAAATGGATAAATAGCTATGAAATGGACCTTGAAGTGATATTATTTTGTCAAATGCTGTTCTCAAGGTCAAGCATGAACTCCAAGCCTTTTTTTTCTTAACTTTATTTTATGATTTATTTAATTTTATTCCATCTTTAAGAAATATGTCGGTATGCTATATTGGTTCTTATCAGCGTGGAAAATGTTTTGATATATGTTTTTATATATGACGACACTGTGGTCAGCTATGGATTTGTCACCTATGCCTATTGTCTAACTTTTATTTTTGCTTTTTAAAAATCATATATTTATTTTATCTATATTTAGCTTCAGCTTAAAAAATGTATTTTTCAAATGACATGCTGTTGAATTAAATATAGTACAGTACTGGGATGTACACTTGGCCTAGTCATTTTATAAGGTTTGCTTCATGAAAATGTGGTTTTAATATGTAACTGATTTATGATTATATTATACAGTAGTCTCCCTGGAGCAATGTAAAGTACCTTTCCTCAAATGCTATGCTATATTATAGCACAAATTTTATGTACCTGTAATTTACTTGATTAATTTATTTCAAGCCACTTTAATTTACAATACTTTTTACTCCAATATATTGATCTGATGGCTTTAGTTTCTACTTACTGTATACAAACCATGATCAGCTCATACAGTATGATGCTTTTATATAGAATAAACTTTGCAATACTAAAATTTTTTAAACTTCACCAAATACAACATTAAAATGCTACTTATATGTTTAGCCATCAGCAATAATAATTGAATATTTAATATCATAGTGGCCAGTTGTTTGCATTGAGTGTCTTCATTTTTTATACATTAGGTGCATTTTGCAGACAGTTTTTATATACTTTTATTTTAGTAACACATTCAATGTAGGACTTGTTCCACCACTAGAGTCAAACTCACCGTGCGTTACTCTGGATTGCCTCCTTTAGTATCTTCACCCAGTTCCTCCGTATTCTGGAGGTCATAGCAGAAAGTGTGAACACTGCTCTCTTTGTCTGGAGGAGATCAAAAGACAGAGCAAAGACACACACACACACACACACACACACACACACACACACACACACACACACACACACACACACAGAGTTGAACAGGAAGCATTCAAACATGAAGTTGATGTGGAAATAGCGTGACGATGGAGAAGTGTCTGACTGTCCATCTGTACTGTACAACACTATGAGCAAAACACAAGTATAGTAAATACATACTTGTATTTGGAGCCCATAATTCCTCTCTACATCACAGTCTGACACATTCACACAGGATGTCAGGTCGATCTCTCCATCCAGGTCATCTGACTGCAGCACAAAAAGAAGAGCTTAAAGGTAATATAGTCAATAAGGTTGCAACACAAACATCATAGAAGAATGAATGATCCCTTAGTATTTTTTATGATGGCAAAACCTGCATGAACCCAGTTCAAATCATGTAGATTGAAATTCCTGTAAATGCTGTAGGTTAAAATATAAGAGCAATTTAACGCCATACCTCCTCAGCCTCAGAGTCTCTGTAGAACCTCAACCAAGTATCTCCCAGAACAAACCAGTGTTTCTTCCACTGAGCAAAATAAAATAAGTAAACATAGGATTAAAACACATTTAATTTCTGGATATTTTAAGGGTCAACTCTTGTTCTTGATGTTTTGTATTGTCTGTCGTTATGAATGAGATTGTGGTTACAACAGGACTTGCAATGGAAAACTACTTAATTTTAGATTAATTAAGATTAAATTTACAGAAACCTCTGCTTACCTTGCCATGATCATCCAGTCTGGACATCCACCCCTTCGAGTAACAACATCTGCAATTAAAGTTTTAAGAACAAGCTCTTCAAAAGCAGAATGAGTGGTTTCTGACTCACGCTTGACTATGAAACTAGAGGAAACGGAAAATGTCAGTGGCAGACATCAGTGTCTGTCTGAGATAACTACATCACTGAAGCATGCACAGAGAGGCAGGCAAAGCATTAAAGCATGAAAAGTAGGAAATATACTACAGAATGGGGACATGAAAAAAGATTAGGTGTAGCATTTGCAAACAGTGATCATTATTGTAAAACAATGGGAACTAGGAAGAGAAAGAAGAACTGGTGAAAAGATTGTTAGAATGACTTAAGAGCAAGCAGATTGTTGGAGCATGATAGCACAAAATAACAGGAAATACTCACCATGTGTGCATCATATTGTGTCCGATATATATACATATAAAATAAACAGAGAGATTGAGAGAAAAAAAAAGCATGATGTGAAGAGAAAGAGAAGAGGAAGTCGCCACAGTGTGATCACACATGCAGTAGCGCTTATTATTACAGATGGAAATGTTGTGTGAAGGTCTGTGAACTACTACTAAGCTTTGTATGGTTGAATGCACTTCACAGCACTAAAATATTAAAAGTTTGAATACTTCATTTTGTGATCATCCATTCTTTTGTGTTTGCTAACCCAGCAGTTTTAGGCAGCGCTGAGACTGCTGCTGTGAACCATCCTAGAATCTATTAATAAAGGTGATAAATCACATGAACATTCTGCCCTGAAACTCAGAGGGCTAACTAATGTTTTTTTTTCCTGCAAGGTGCTTCAGTGAGAGGGGTGCCTGAGGAAAAAGAGCTGAAATAAATATCAAGGAGCTACTTTAGAAGGAATGTATGAATGACCCATTTTCTCTCAAACAATCACATGATTTATACAGATGCAGTAAGTCATGGGACTATGCTCACCTGCATTTGCGTACATTCAGGGCGAGCTCGCTCCTTCAGCTTTGGGGATCTGTGCTTTCCACTTTGATCATCTGAACTCTTTGATAAAATAAACGTTCAGAGTTGCACATTTTGATGAGTTTCAGCATGCATTTTATTGTGAAAATTATTTAATTGTACCTGTGTATGAAGAGATGTTGTTGACTGTCTTCGAGATAATCGTCCGTTCTCAGAGTTCCGGTGTTTCTCTCGTCTGTCTCTGCCTCTCTCTCTGACTTTCCCCCTCTCATCTGGCTCAGGCCTTGAACTGTAGATATTTATTTCATCTTGATAGCTTCAGAACCAAATTAAAGAAAAAGTAAAGAAAATGTACATATATTTATAAAACTTAACTTTCACATACCTATTCAAAGGCTTAAAAAGCACTCCTACTTTCTTTGGCCTTAATTAAGGCAATTACTTCTGACCAGTTCAAAAGAGGCCTATTTTCAAAGCCATTTGTACTTCCTGTGGGAGCTACTGTTTTATTAATCTTCAAGCCACAAAATGAAAAGTTTAAAGGAAAACATACACTAAAATAAATGACCTTCTGAACAGATATGATACTGTGATCCATGAAGTATGTGGTACTCTTTACTTGTACATCCTGAGTCTGTGATCCCTGCATGGGCTGGGACTCTGGTTCCTCCTCCTCATTGCTGGAAACTCTTCTTCTGACTCCATCTGGATTTTTGGAATATCAGCTAACACTATGTAGTCCTCTATGGTCATCCCCACCTCAGATACAGAAAAGTGTTATCAACATTTTGCATGATGTATAAAAAGTTGTCTGTGACAAAACAAAACAGTGTCTACAGCCATGCTAGCTGACTGGTCTGTGAGGCTATACTTAGGCAGTTGTGCTACAGGCAGTTGTGCTAAATGCTGCTGTTAGCATGCTAACGTTTACAACATAGACTGTATGGTTCACAACAAGGGTTATCAACTATCCATGCAATAATTGTGGAAACAGTTCTCCCTAAAATAGGAATAATTATCTATTTAGCTAGCTAGATAGACAAATAAATAGAGTACTTTATTAATCCCCAAAGGTAAATTTTGGACATACTAGACCTCTTGGTGGTGCTACATAAAACATCAGGGGACTACCAAAGTCATTAGGGTTCATTTTCTAGGTAACAAAACTAATACAAAATATGTACAAAATGCCATTGCAATCCATCCAGTTGTTGAGGTATTTCACTCTGGACCAAAGTGGGCCAATCGACTGATTGACACTGCAATCCATAAATTCATGCCACTAATGTAGCTAAAGCTAGCTAATATTAGGTATATTAGTTACCAGTGCATACCTCCTCAACTTCTATTGCTGCATTCTTGGGTTCAGAGATCAACAAGGCCTCCATGCCTCGTCTCATGTTGCTCCTGCTTCTGTCACCACTGACCGTATTATTCCCCTCAATGCCATGATCATTTTCTGTGTTTGCAACATGTAATGCTGAAGCATCAAGCACCTGAGAGCCTGCACCTCTTCTTGATGTGGAAGAACCACGAGACGGTGGGAGGCTGAGTAAGGAGTGTGAGGACCCCTGCCAGGAACCTTGACAAGGACTTGATCTACTGTCTCTGGAGTGGGGCTCCCTCTGTGGTGTGTGACCGTGTGTACCATAGCTGTTTCTGGATGGTGATATTTCCCGGCTGTTACGAGTGTGAGTATTGGCTGAGCTGTTGACAGTTGTTCTTGTTCTTGGAGATGCTTGAGATCTCTCATATAAGTTCTGCTGAACAGCTGAGGAGCCACGATAAGAGATAGACTCCAAATTCCTGTAGAGTTTCTCAGAGTCTAAACTGTGTTGGTTTGAAGTCTGTGATGGACTCCTGAACTCCTGGCTGCATTCATTTTGGGCACAATAATCTCCATTCTGTGAATGGAAGGAGTCTGTGTGCCAGTGAGAAGGAGTGGCCCTTCGGGGTGAGGTGGTCCGAGAGGCAGTGGACCCCCTTCTGCAAGATGGACTGGACCTGCCTGATGTATGCCGAGAAGGAGCATGCAATGGGAGCTGAGAGGAGCCGTGAGATGAGGCATGACTCCTAGAGAGGGAGTTCCCTCTCTGAGTTCCCGCAGGAGATGATTCACTTACCTTGTAGTGGTCTGGACTCACAGAGTTGTAACGTGTTGGAGAATTTCTCTGTGAGTTGGTTCCTTTCCTAAAGTTGGAGTGGTAAGTGTACTTATGTGGGGATTCACTTCTCCAAGTTCCCTGTATATACGTCTCTGAGTTCCTCCTTCTGGAGGGTAAACCAAGGTTGACATTTCTGTAAGGGACACAGGCTTTGGGCTCCAGAACATAGTTGCCGGGGAGGGGATGTCCCTTCTCATAGTAACGATATGGCCGCGTGTTTACTTCCTTCGTTTGCCATTCATCATCACGTCTTCTCTCTGGAGAGAAGTAACCGCTTTCCTGTTCCCTGTCTCGTCTGGACTCTGAAAATAATACAGATCTGTGGTCAGTGCCTAAATATGTGGCCTGTAAGAGAGCATGAACATGAATTTCATGAATAACATAATAATGATGAAGTGTCAGGTTCTCAAAGGTCAAGGTTATGATAGTGCTCTGTAGGTTTGTAGGAAAACTGAATATCTATGACTGACCTCCTGCCCAGTGGGACCTGCTTCTGCCCCTCCTCTCATCCATCCAGGAACTTTCTGTGCCTTGGTGGGGAGAAGGGTCCAGCTGGGTCATATCTCCTTGTGCCACAGAGTGCCTCTGTAAGCTGAGGGATCTGGTCCTCTCTGGACAATCCCACGGATTTGGGGAGCTGGAGGAAGCAGTACAAGGTCATCACTGAGATTTAGACCAGGATGTTAGTGCAAACAGTGTTTAAATGTAAAATACACCCATGGAGAATTTTATTAGATTCACCTGTAGAACTAAATGCAATCTACTACAACAGCCCTGTCACAGTGTTTGTCTTTATGAATCTTATAATGTTTCAGTTCTTGGTGAATATATGTTTATTATAGAGATCATAGTTAGTTTTGTACTAGCCTGCACTATATTTATTTGTGTCACTATATTTTTGTACTCCAAATTTACTTAAACTGATCAGCAATAACATTATGACCACCTGCCTAATAGCGTGTACACAGGAGTCAGTGCAGCAGTTGGTTGTCACTCATGTCACTCTGCATCCTCTGTGAATCTGTTTGCTTCCATAGTTCTACTGTCAAGAAGAGCATGCATGTGTCAACCATTTAGTAATAAAAAAAATATTATGAAATGAATGAAAACTGTGGTCATGAGGACAAGTTAGAAATATTTTTTAGACCAACTCAACAGCCTCCCCACTCGAGGTGTGATATCACCACTAAAGCCTCTGAATGTTTCTCTTCATAGAGTATGTATGTAGAGTATTTCTCATTTTCAACCACTTTAACAAAGGTAAAAAAATATCTGTTGTAAAGTATAAATGGAATTTAAAAGTTGAATCTAATAGATCAACCTCATCATCAGTGAGCTTTGGGCATCCATGACCCATGTCACTGGTTTACTGTTTGTCCTTCCTTAGACACTGTTGGTAGGTACTGACCACTGCAGTCCAGGAACACCCACCAAGACCTGGAGTCTGGGAGATTCTCTGACCCAGTCATTAGCCATCACAGTCTGGCCCTTGTCAGTGTCACCCAAATCCATATGCTTACCCCTTTTTCCTGCTTTCAGCACATCAACTTCAAGGACTGAATGTTCACTTGCTGCCTAATATACCCCACACACTGATAGGTGCCATTATAATGAGATAATCAGTGTTATTCACTTCACCTGTCAGTGGTCATAATGTTATGGCTGATTGGTGTACAGAATATAAGAAAGTGAAAACAAGTTTCTGGCCTCTTCATGGATGTAAGACCAATGCACTTTTGTGTTTGGCTAAACTATGGACACCAGCTAGTCATTAACATTGTCTGCCTGTCTGTTTAGTTGGCGCTGGACATGTACTGTACACAGTGAGTTTGTTTTCTTGCCACCTGAGTATTCCTGTGCTCATGTGTCTCAGACTGCTGAACAAGCTGGTGGTGTTGCCTCAAGTCTATTCTCAATTCAAACAGCAAACTTGATAATACATCTAACTCTTTTGAGGCTTGTGTGTTAAAATCCTATCTATCAGTTATAAAATAGCTGCAGGACAACAGACTGCAATCATTTTACCTGGTCCTTACAAACAATATTTAGAAGAATTCATTTCAGACCCTATTACTCATTCTGATGAGATTCTAACTGCAGTGGACCTCAATAATCACCTGAACAAGGCCTGTGATCTGATTCATTCATTTGACTCATTCATCGGTACTTTTGGCTTCACTTACTATGTGCATGAACCTATTCACTACAGGGGTAACACCCTTGATCTGACTGTATCCCATGGAATAGTGGTGTCTGATCTGTGTCTTCAGTCATGTTACTTGTGCCATTATGTCAACTAAGCTATGTCACAGTTTTGCAGTCGAGTCATTAAACCTCGAATCCAAGTTGTCTCCGCTACGCAAGTCCAAGTCATCAAGGTCTGCATTAAACACAATTGACACAGCACGCACAATTTTAGATTCCAAACTTTCTATCAGTGTATTGCATCACTATATTGATCAGCAATTTGATACATAAAAATCACTTATAGAAAGGTGGAGTGTATGCTTTGATGGAAGTGTGCCAGATACAGCGTGGCGCAGGCAACCATAATATCTTATTATATATCTCATAACTTAAAAAAAAAGAAAAAGTCAGGGTCCTCGTCTCCAACTTTCGAGTTTGAAAGAAGTCTATGCTTGAGTCCGAGTCCAAGTCCGAGGCATCCGTTTTCAAGTCTAAGTGAAGTCACGAGTCTTGGGACTTGAGTTCAAATCCTGAACCCGAATAGTGCAACACTACTTGTAAGCTAATGTTATGTAGGTTATTTCAAGAAACATATGTGCTCATTGCTCCGGGATCTAGTTCTTAGCAAAGAAAAGTGGTTTCTAAAATCAGACTACACACACAGTTACCTGGGTTGTATGTCAGTGTCACAGATATTAGGTTCCCACTCAGAACTCTGGACCAGACTCCAGTCATAGGTCCAGCCACCACTGAGGTCATCACTACTGGCACTTGTGGTCACCTCAGACAGATCATCATCATATACATCCTGGTTTATTGAGCACAAAAACACAGTTTTAAGTATCAGGATAGTCCAGCGACAGGCAATCTGTTACTTTACATGAATACCTATTTTAGAAGGCACAGTCAGGTTGTTAATACAGGTGACTGTGGCATCAGTTAATCTGCCTGTTTCCAGAAAACGTTTTGGTACTTCCTTTTGTTTTCAAATAGCAGTTATCACACTTGATTGTTTTTAAAATAATACACCAACAGTGTCACTTATATCAAATTATGACCCTGATAAAATTACCACAGCAACGGTCATGGCTGGGGTCTTTTATCTCATACATTTTAAATGACAGCAAAACACACAGCAGCATACACTTACCCTGTAGACACTAATACATAGCCATCCAACATCACAAGCCTAAATATTAAGATGTGTTTCACTTACTGTGATGGTTTGCTGTCTTTAGACAAATGTGCTCTTAATGCTTGCAGCAGCTCTCCTCTCCTCTCCATTCATTCTAGCTAAGCCAGTTCATTAGGACTGCACAGGACGTAACTCAAGCTAGTCTCTGGCCATGCTCATCATTATTTCATTGCTCTAGTGCTTTTACATTACTAGAGCCACCCACTCAAGTCCTTTTGCATCTTTATCTTGATCCTTCCCTCAGTTTTATTTCTAATTTACAGAAGAGTTAAATGTTTTAGTTCCTGATCTCCTGTCTCAGTGTGGGTTTAAAGAATGTAAAGTGCCATCAATTTGTTTTTTTCTGATTAAAATAAAGTCTACATAAAAATCTTGGTAAAAATTACTATTTTACAGTTTAACTGAAGTAGGCCTGTGTTGTATGAGTGGATATGTTTGCATGTCTTATAGGTGGGTAAGATTACACCCCCTTCCCCAGGGACTATAAGGTGCTTTCATTAATTAATGATACAGAATCAAATGCCACCTTGTTGTATTATCCTACTCCCACCTCCACAGTAGATTCACTTGGTGATTGTGTTATAGGTTGACAGTGTCACCTCAGTGTGGAACTGTTTTGTCACACCTATGTAATCATGTTGAATGGTAGCAGGTCATTTAAAAGCTCTCGACTTCGACCCTATTATTCAAAATGTCAGTAGAGTCATGGGAAATCTAGTTTCAGATGTTTATTATAGTTCATAACGATCTTATTTTAAAGTTATGGTTTATAAAATTGCTTTATATTTCTGTCAAGTACTTTGTGGCAAGGTTGTATTTATGCATCACAAAAGAAATGCAAGACAACAATCTACAATCTTTTTCATTATCAATACATCTGACAATAACATATCTCTATTCAAATTGCATGTTTTGTCTGACCAGCAGACAAATACCCAAAGATGTTGGGTTTACAGTACTATCATAAAAAATGGTGATTATACCAAATATTCACTTTAAGAAGCTGATACAAATGAATTTTGGTGCAATTGCCCTTGTAAACCATTTTTCCAGCTTGCTCCCCATTAATTTCCTGTCAACCAGCTAATCAGTTTATGAACTAATCAGTTTAGCTAGAGCTTTGTTTTCCAGATGTCTGGTGAAAAAATTAAACTGTCATGTATACAATGGCGTTCAACAGGAAGCCAATAAGAAATCTTGGCCCTAGGAACCCCTGAAGGTAAATCTGCCTATGTCTGAAGGTCACCTTCAAGTCACAAGTGAGTTGCTTCATAAATTATGTTTGTTTTATTATTCACTTTTAGTAATTACCTGTTTTGTTGTTTTTCACAGCGTTGTTTTGTGTAATTTTGAAAACTCTGATAAACACAGGCCCAGCAGAACTATTGAATAATTCATGTACCTACCCACTCCTCTGCGCTGTCCCGTTGTGCAGCTGCAGTGATATTGGTGCTCAGGTGCATGTGATCTGGTCGCAGGCAGGAGCTGCAGCGGGAGGGGTCAAAGGTGTTTGGCTGGAACTGGCAGCAGTAGTAGTCTTCAGCAGGGGGCGCCATGTATATCCTGCTCCGTCGCCCTTGTTGTCTGTAGCCCTTGGCTGGGTATTCTCAGGTACCTCAATATAGCCCTTTGATTGATTAATTCTCAGTGGTGTTATTTCCCAGGAGGCTCTTGGTGAACTTTAGTCATAGTTCATTAGCATAATATGAATAACAACCATCATCAAAATTCTTATTAGGAAAGCTCTAAGAAATTAAAACTTAATCTTTTAGATTTCTATGTTTGAATTGCATATATTCAGACAAATGACACTACGAATTAAAACAATAACTTTGTGCTGTTTTGACTATAAATAGACCTCAGTGAGTCGTGCTGTCACTAACAATGTAATAATTCAAATACTCCATTCACTGAAACACACATCACTACTGATGGGCTACCTTTACACCTCCAAGCAAAAAAACTGTAACAGTGTATAGTGTAACCATTACATAGAAGGAATCGTCTAGCACATGGTATCTGACAAGGTCCATAAACTGCAAAAATATGTAATACTAAAAGACAAGACACTACCTTCTTGATGTGATTCAAAGCTATAATTTCCCCCAAGATGACACACTGTTATTTAATTTTCAAGAGAAGATCCTTTAGTGAAAGCTCAGTTCTTCGTATAGGCATGAGGTCTACAGAGGTTGGGGTCTTTTTTCAGAAAACAAGCTTTCATTGGTTCTCACTTGGGCCCAGTATGGTGTCTGTGTCCTATCAAATATCATTTGTGAAACATAGCACTGACTCTTCTTCACACCTGACTGATGCACAGATGGTGCAGCCACAAAGAGGAGAGGGTTACAACAAGTTCATACATATTAAAAAGTCAAATGAAATCCTACTAAGAATACAGGGAAGAATAATAAAGCAAGTAAACAACTGATGATTTGAGTGTTTTGCCCTTTTGCCCATGCAACTCTGAGTTTGTATGGTGGTTATACTTTACAGCTCAGCATAATTAAAAGATACTAAGGAGTTATTATCAATATCTATGCAATTGGAGTAAAACTTTAAAGGTTGTCTTATTTAATGTTTGAGAGGTTACAATAATCACTGTCTTGACCACTGTTTTTATTCATTGTATGCTGCACTTCTACCATGCTGGGGTTTGAAAAGCACACATTCTTAATAGAATGGTAATATAGAAGCAATAACTTGGCAGTTATCTTGGTACAGTACTAGTAGGTAGGACATTGGCAGTGCTGTAGTTTAATTTGTGTAAAAGTGTAATTAAAGAGGAAAATTAAAGGTCTGTATAGGAAAAAGCATTTTAAACTAAAATGAAGAACAATGTGGCAATAATAGAGTAATTATATTAACAACTGATATGATACTTTCATATATAATTTTTTCATCTGCAACATTTCTGTGGATGTTTGATGAGCAGAGTGGGATCTGCAAGCAGATGGAGCACAGGCATTTTCTCTGTGTGTGTTTGTGTGTGCGTGTGCAAATTTAGACCATGTCAGAAGCTTGTGATGATTAATTACAGTTTTGTAAGCCTACATTTCGTCAAGCAACACTATCACATGAACCTCAAAGACACAGGAGTATAATTAAACATTTTTGGCAAGTGAAATGACAATTAAGGAGAGATATTTTTGTCTTCTGCTGTGTCGCATGCGTACTGTAGGCAGCAGTTGCTATAATGAGAGAGTAGAGCCAGTATCCATGGAAATGCAGTTGGAAAAGTTCAGCTCACAAAACTTAAAACCAACAGGAAGGTAAACATGTCAATGAGTGTATTAAAGCTACTTCATGTTGCTGTGATATTTTGGTTCATTGCATTATTGTGAGAGCTGCACTTTAGCTATTTTTGCTGACATTAAAATGATAATGACCAAAATAGCTTTTTGTAAGTGATACACACAGAGGAAGGAGGGCACCAGTGTTGTACAAGCTCACACTTTGCATGAGTTAAATCAAAGTTCAGTTCACACACATCGAAATGAGCTAGTTCATGTTCATAGTTCATATTCACCTTCATTTTCTCCATTTTAATTACTTTTTAGCAAGCTGCTCTGAGCAGTAAAAAGCATTTTTACTGTAGAACCTCCTCCTACCCATCCATTCTCAGCCCCCAGTAGCTGCATTGCCAGATTGTTTAAAATATGTTATGTATGTCACATGTGAACTAACAAAATAAAAGGGCTCTGGCATTTTGCGTACTGCCATCCTGATTTAGAATGACACCCAAAAGAGAAGGAAGTAAATTTAGCAAGGTTTGAAGTGGCCAATATATGGTTTCTCTTAAATTAATTAATTTGTAGGGAATGATTTCTATCATAAAGTCTATTCTGTGTGAAGTGTACTGTGCATATTAGTGATATATAAATATCAGTTTAGCTATACCTGGATACTCTTTGGCAGTGGATCCCTGAAATTAGGCTATCCTGCCGGTGAACTCAGTGACTCCCCGCCATCTCCCTCCACTTTTGCTTCTGCTGCAGCTTGAGGGTGCATTTGTTTTAGGTCTTGTGCAGCACAAGTGAGTGGTGTATCGCTCTGTGTTAACATAACACAGTGGTGCTAATGTGGGGATGTGAGGTTCCAGCAGTAAACAAAACAAGTGATCCTAGACTTTGGGGCAGAAACTTGAAGAGTTTCATTGTTCGTACTGAACGAAGCCTTTACTGTTCACGTTCATCACCCTGCATGTTCATGAAAATCAAGTTCAAGTGACATTTTTGCAAAGTGATCCATTCATGGCAAAATGAGCATGTTCATGCAAAACACTGGAGCGCACTATACATACATACAACGTCATCAGGTTTGGCTTCACCCAGAATTTAACTGCACACCCCTGCCAGTCTAAATGCGATGTTTGTCAGTATTAATGAATGAAAGATAAATAAATAAAAATCAAATCAAATTTTATTTGTATAGCGCCAAATCACAACAAAAGTCATCTCAGGACACTTTACAAAGTAAGGTCTAGACCTTAGTGTTATCAATATTATTACATAGGGAAAACCCAATAAATCCCCCTTGAGCAAGCACTTGGCGACAGTGGGGAGGAAAAACTCCCTTTAACGGAAGAAACCTCCGACAGACCCCGGCTCTTGGTGGGCGGGCTTCTGCCTCGACCGGTTGGGGCGAGTGGATAGAGGAGAGACAAAAGAAGAAAAGCAACAAGACACAACAATCAAACTGTTAAAAGGATAATGTCACTTGGACTATTCCATTTTCACTGAAACACCCTGCTGTAACTCTCCGCTCCATATACCAAGTGCTTGCCAGTCAATATGACCCCTTAGGGTTTATTGTGCCATATACTACCAGAGCCAAAGTAGTAGTGCAGAGACTGTGGGACAAGAAAAGGGACTGGGATGACCCCTCTCTCCCAGTAGAGCTCCTTCACGCTTGGCAGGAATGGGAGAGTGAGCTCCCTGCTCTACAGAACATCATCCTACCTAGATGTTACACCAGTGAGGCTATGGACTCTGAAAGAAATAGCAGAGAAATTCACATTTTCTGCGATGCTTCAGAGCGGGCATATGGCTCTGTAGCATACATCCGGACAGAGGATGGAGAGGGCAAAGTTGAGACCGCCTTCCTCACAGCTAGATCTCGAGTAGCCCCCAAAAGGCAACAGTCTATCCCACGTCTTGAACTGTGTGCAGCACTAACAGGGGCACAGCTGGCAAAGGTATTAAAGGAAGAGCTCACCCTTCCCATCCAGCAGTTACTATTATGGACTGACTCCACTACCGTGCTCACCTGGCTGCGTTCTGACTCCTGCAGATTTAAGGTATTTGTGGGAACACGCATTGCAGAGATCCAAGACCTGACCACACGAGAGTCATGGAGATTTGTAAATTCTGCAAATAACCCTGCAGATGATATTACACGAGGTAAACATCTTCGGGTGTTGACAGCGGACAGTCGCTGGTTCAAAGGTCCTGCCTTTCTGCAACAAAGCCCAGATCACTGGCCCCAGCTAAGCCAAGTGCCGATCATCACCACAGACTGTGAAGAACTAAAGAAGTCTACCTTCTGTGGTCTCATTGAGAGTACTTCCCCTCTTCCAGACGTCGAGCAATTTCAGACATGGAATCAGCTGGTTTCAGCCACTGCACAGTGCCAACAGGGGGCGGCTACCACTGCACTTACTGCTGATCAATACAGAGAAGCAAAAAACAGCTTATTCCGGCGAGTGCAGCAAGAATGTTTTCCCACTGACTTTCAAAAACTGTTGATGAACAAGCCTCTGCTGAGTAGCAGTCGTCTTATCAATCTCACCCCAGAGTTTGACAGTTCAGCCCAGCTCATCCGAGTTGGAGGCCGGCTGCGCTATGCTACTGATGTTGAACCTGAGATGCTTCACCCAGTTGTTCTTGATCCTAAACATAAGATCACTCAGCTTCTCATCCAGCACCATGACAATCTCCTTCACCACCCAGGAAGTGAACGGGTCTTCGCTGAGCTGAGAAAAAATTTCAGGATTTTGAGGGGAAGGGAGGCAGTCAAACGATATCAGTATCGTTGTACCGAATACTGGAAATGGCGTGGGAACCCAAGACACCCTCGGATGGCAGATCTCCCACCGGCAAGGTTGCACCTTCTTAAGCCGGCCTTTTATTTCACAGGAGTCGATTGCTTCGGTCCCTACCGTATTAAGATTGGTAGGAGAACCGAGAAAAGATGGGGGATTATTTTCAAGTGTATGACTACTAGGGCAGTTCACTTGGACCTCCTTTCTAGCATTGACTCTGACTCCTTTTTGATGGCTCTGAGAAGATTTGTGGCACGCCGAGGCAAGCCCTTTGAACTGCTCTCAGATCAAGGCACTAATTTTAAAGGTGGAGAGCGTGAGCTTCAAGAAGCATTTACCTCACTACAGCCTGGACTTAAAGATCTCCTTTCATCTCAACAGATTAAGTTCACCTTTAATCCACCAAGTGCTCCCCATTTTGGTGGCTGTTGGGAGAGAGAGATAAGGTCACTCAAACAGGCACTTCAAGTCACCATCGGTGAACAGTTGGTCCCTGAAGAGGTTCTGCAGACTGTACTTGTAGAAATTGAGGGCATCCTCAATTCCAAGCCGCTGGGATACATCTCCTCAAATGCTGCAGACCCGGATCCAATCACACCCAACATCTGGCTCAGGGAGCGGCTGGATTCATCCCTGCCTCAGGTTGTGTACCCAGAGTCAGAGCTCCTTGGTAGACGGCGGTGGCGACATAGTCAACTGCTGGCGGACCACTTTTGGAGGAGTTTCATCCGTTTCTACCTGCCAGGCCTCCAGACACGTCAGAAGTGGTGCTCTGACTCTCCCAACCTTCAAGTTGGGGATACAGTACTGGTTGTTGACCCCCAGCTACCTCGGGCTAGTTGGCCTATTGGACAGATCATCCAGACTTCACCTTCACCTGATGGTAAAGTAAAGGGATCGCTCCTACATTCGACCTGTCTCCAGGATCATCAGCCTTCCTAAAGTGCCAGACCATTAACGTTGTGTAACGGCATTAGGCCTTTTCTATATGTGCAGATTTTCTCACAAAATCTGGGGGCGGCTGTTAAAAGGGTAATGTCACTTGGACTATTCCATTTTCCTCCCCTCTTGTTTCTCCCCCCGCGAGTGGTATGTTCCAGTTCTCAGAGTGTGTCACATTAGCCACTGTGTGAGGGGCTAAATAGCATTGTGTTCGGAGTTCCAGTTAGTCGGAATGTATTACCAAGTTTACCTCCCTTCTGGTGTGCGTCCATGAATGTGAGTAAAGTTTGCTGTATTCTGCGTTGGCAATAGGAAGAAAAAAGGCCGATTTACATTAAAGAACTGACATCTTATGTATCCGTTAGTGTTACTTATGTAGACTTAGAACGCCCTTCTGTGGCTGTTTTGGGACTATTACACGGTCCGTTTCATTTGCGATATCAGGTCATATAGACACGTATGTAACCCAGAAATGGTTAATTTGGGATGTATCTGTTAGATTGTGTAATATCATTTCATCATTTGTTGTTATTTGTATTTCTTGATTTAGATAACCACACCTCCAATATGTGGAATAAACGTGATCTAACAGTCACTTCAGTGGTGGGCTGTGCTTTAAACCCAAGTCCAAGAGGGGCCAAAGTCAACCTGTG